TACATCAACAATCAAGCCATTTGTAAGGAGAAATTTCACCAGAAATGCCGTCTCGATTACTACTGCATCACTTGCAAGAAGTGTATTTGTCAAAAATGTGGTACAACATCACACGGCACCCATGACAGGGTCACCATCGAGCAGGCAGCTGAAGATGCTAAAAAGCTBATCAGAAAAGAAAAGGATCGACTGAATGAGCTGCTTATCGGTTACAAGAAAGAATTAGAACTGTCCAATGAAAATATGACAAGAATTCAAAGCGAGGTTGATGCAGCAAAGGCAAAAGCACAAAATGACACACAAGCTATGATGAAGATTCTACAAGACCGTCAAAACGCTTTGATTGSTACCTTGGACGGCCTCCTTGCAGAACAAACAACAGCAAATGAAGACGAGAAAAAGAAGATCAACGGCAACATTCAACAAGTCACTGAACTGAAACATCAGTGTGAATCAACGGAAGAGAAAAACTTAGAAAAATTCATATTGGAAAGCTACGAAAATTTACTAGAAGTTTGTAAAACCACAGCGCAAAACAAGTCCACCTTATCGACCAAACCAGTCAAGCGAAACACAAGCTTTCATTTCATTCCAAACGCGGAAGCCATTGCCATGATGCGAAAATTCCAACTSGGYGAGGTAGTGGAAAGCGAGACAGATCCGTCTCGTTGTTCTATTGAATTTGTAAGTAACGTCAGATGTGGTTKTATCAATGAATTTGTGATCGTTACAAGAAATTCACAACGTGATGTATGCCATACCAATAAAGATATAATTAAKGTRCAAATCAAAGATGTCVATGRCAACRATGTGCAGAAAGAACTGATTGAAAGTGAAACTGGTAGATTTCCAGTGAAGTACAAAGCAGAGAAACCTTCACCGTACAAAGTTATGGTGAGTATTGGAGGAAAAGAAATCAAAAACTCACCACAGAACATTGAGACAATTGATGCTAAAGCACAATTTAAACTCTTGAAGATAATTGATGTCAAAGAGAGGATGTCCACTCCTATTAAACTTGATGTAAATGACAGTGGCGATATTGCTGTGCTTAATCGTGATCGTAATAAAAAAGATTTMCGTGTCGTGTTGTTCAATGCTGATGGAGAGTATTTGCGAGACATTGGTGGTGCAGGATCAGGAGATGGTCAGCTGAKTAATCCAGGTGGAGTCATCTTCAATGAGGATAAAATAGTCATCACCGATAATCCAGATAATTGTGGCTGTATCAAGGTGTTTGACTTCGATGGTACCTACAAAAAAACTCTTATCGAACTACCTAAAGGAATGCTTTTGAAAAGAATGTGTACAGCCAATCAAGTCATCGCATGTTCGTGTTACAATATCAATACTAAAGAGACATTTATAAAGTGTTTTGATAGACACAGTCATGATCTCCTTCATGACATCAAACTGAATGCCGTTCCGGATGAAGGTCATAAAGAGACTTCCTCATTAGTTTATCACAACAATAAGTACTTTGTATCGTTTTTTGATGTGAACACTGTTTATGTTTTTGACGAGAATGGTGGTCTACTGTACACATTTGGAATGAAAGGCTACAAAGAAGGTCAGTTTAATGGAGTGTATGGACTTGCTGTGTTTGGTAAAGAAATGCTTCTTGTCTGTGATCTCGATAACCACCGCGTACAAGTCTTCAGTCAAGACGGTCAGTTCATAAGTTCCTTTGGTAGTAAAGGTTCAGGTTTTTGTCAAATGAATGGTCCTTTTGACGTTGCTGTTRCACCAGATGGTCGAGTATTTGTGCTRGAATKGWWKGGCAAACGAGTRCAGGTGTGGAGATGAGATCTGTTGACTGCCTTCATAGCGATGTACCCATGAAASAMATACTGTTACACACCAAATATGTACAATTGTAGTCAYAGARAACMTGTCCTAAATCAGTTAKCCTGTGCACTAGMCGTAAATTTAAAGTCTTTGTATTTTATCCAATTCATAGTTTAAGAAAGATTCTTGTGTTTAAGTTGATGGGCATTACTAATAGTTTTGCTCTTTTTTCAATTTTTCAATTAACAATGAAAGCAAAGGTTTTTTTCTGAACTCTATTAAGCTCGACTATTCTCTTGTAGATGACAGAAAATCACTCTAAAGTTAACACTATTTGKTGATTCCTATCCCAGGATCTACTATCAAACCCCATTCATCAAACAACAAGTGTTTTAATGGTGTTAGCGA